GGGGTCGGGTCCTGTGTTGGTAGTCGGCTAGCTTGGCTAGAAGGGGGAGCATGGATTGGCGCGCTGCAGCAGAGGGCTCTGAGAGGAAGGCCTGAACCAGGTGGGTGCTGGGGTAGGCCCATGTGGCTGCCACGTCATCCACCTGTTGGGAGAGGGGGGAAGGGGGGCGGGGGGGATGGGGAAGGAAAGGAAAGCCAAGGAAAGGAAGGGAGTGGAGTGGGGAACAAGGAGGGGCAACATGAGAGTCTCATGATGAGACGTCTCAAAAACACCCTCTCTACACGTGGCTATTCAGCAGTGCCTATCGAGAGGAATAAGGAGGCTGGAGGGTGGAGGGTGGGGTACGCTTTTGAGAATTCTCAAAAGCAACACCCACCGAGAAAGCTGAGAGTGCGGTGTAGGCAGCAGCACGAGTTTGCCTCCATTCTCTCTCCCTTCCCTCCCCTCCTTTTCCTCCTTCAACTATCAGCTCCCCCTCCATCCCTTTCCTGGCAGCTTCCCACAATCCCTCCATGATGCCACGTGTTGCATCGGGATAGGCTGCGGCGTCGAGAGCAGCGGATTGCAGCAGGTGGCACCAACGGGCGGCCGTGATTGGATGCGTGGGCAGAGAGGGGTGTGACCGGGAGACAACTTTCCATGCTGTGAAGAAATCTGGGGTCGGGGGTTGGTTGGGATTTGGAGGAGAGAAGGGGGTGGTGTTTGAGGGGCCTCAAAAACGATTGGGAGTGCAGGGAGGGTTGCGTTGAGGGGGTGGTGTTTGAGGGGCCTCAAAAACGGTTGGGAGTGCAGGGAGGGTTGCGTTGCGATGAACGGTTTTTTTTCGAGAGCAGCGGATTGCAGCAGGTGGCACCAACGGGCGGCCGTGATTGGATGCGCGGGCAGCAAGGGGTGCGACCGAATGACCACCTTCTATGCCGTGAAGAAATCTGGGGTTGGGGGAGCGGGGAGGATTGGGGGGGAGCGGGGGGGATTGGGGGGGAGCGGGGGGGATTGGGGGGATTCTAACGCGCCTCAAATTTTTTGAGGCGCCTCAAAAAAAGAAATCTGGGGTTGGGGGAGCGGGGGGGGAGCGGGGGGGAGCGGGGGGATTGGGGGGATTCTAACGCGCCTCAGAATTTTGATGGGCGGGCAAGGAGGGATGCGATCGGGAAACTACGTCCTATGCTGAGTAGAAATCTGGAGTTAAGGTTTGGGATTTGTGGGATCTGCTTCACTCCACAGAGAGGCTACCCAATGTTCTGGAGCAAGCACTCACCCACGGCATCGGGAGCACAGAAAGCAGCGAGCGCGACTAAACCAAAGGCAGCGACAAGGGGATGGGGCGAGTTAATCGCAGCCTGCACTGAGAGCACCAGGCGCACTGCCCTGTCCGTGTCGTGGCGACACACTCCCCTTATGCTCACCAGATCGACCCTCTGTTATGGAGCAAGTACTTGTACTTACCCACGGCATCGGCAGCACAGAGAGCAGCAAGGGCGTCGAGACCAAAGGCAGCAACGAGAGGGCTTGGCGATTCAATAGCTGCCTGCACTGAGAGCACCAGGCGCACTGCCCTGTCTGTATCGTGGCGACACACTCCCCGTATGCTCGCTGCTGCTGCCAGCACCATCGCCTCTTGTGCTGCACCGGTGCCCCCCCTGCTGCTGCTGTTACTTGTACGGACGGTGGTTCTGGGTTTACTAGAGAGGGAGAGGGAGGGCGGCAGCAGCAGCGGCTGAAGCGAGGGAAAGATGCGGTCGGTGATGGCCCAGGCGTGCTGTAGCAACCGCAGAGCAACAGACGCGAGGAGACTGGGGGAGGGGGAGGAGGAAAAACAGAGACGGAGGGATGGAGGGGGGTAGAGTGAGAAGAGCAGGGGGTTCGAGAACAGGCTCTCTAGGGTTTGTCAGGCAGAGGAAATGGAAATACGTACGGGCGGGACTTCTGGCCGGCAAGCTTTGTCAGGACCTGCACCACGGGGCCAGCAGCCAGCCAGTGTCTCGCAAGGCTCGGCAGGACGCAGAGCACTTGAAGACAAGCCTCGCCGCCCGCTCCACCGATCCCCCTCCTCCCTCCTTCCTTCATCCCTCTCTCTACCCCCACCTCCCCCTCCCCATCCACCCCTCCATGTGCCACGTGGCTCAAGCTCCAGAGGACAGCTGGCAGCAGGGAGAGAGCCCAGATAGGCTCACAGGAGGCGAGGCGGGAGAGGGAGAGGAGGGAGGAGGAGCGGAGGGAGGGGGAGGGGTGGAGGGTGGAGAGAGGGAGGAGGAGAGCTGCGAGTGAGAGGATGAGGGATTGAGACATGCCACTGCCTGCTGATGTTTCCCTCCCTGCCTTTCTCACTGTCTCTTTCCGGATTTGATTCAACTGTTGCTGCAGCGCTATCAGCCACCTATCAGAGCCTGACACGTGGCACCCATGCTCACCCCCTGCCCCTGTTGCCAGCGTGTTCTTCCCGTCTGAAAGTACCAAAGACCCTGCCACATCAGCAAGCGCATCATCCACGTCTGCTCCGGGGGAAGATCCAGCGAGCTCACGCTGACGTGGCACGGGCTCATTGGCCCAGGTTTCCGGTGAGTGCCACGTGCCACGCTGCCATTGGGGGGAGGCGATTGCGATTGGATATCTCGAGGAGAGCGTATGAGGCTGGGAGGCCAGGCAGGTGAAGAGCTGCACGTATTGGTGTGTGTGCCAGAGGTCTGGGTGCCTCCACTGCTGCTGCTGCTGCCGCACATGCCACTGCTGCTGCTGCTGCCGCATGTGCCACAACTGTTGCTGCTGGTGTGACGCGACATACGCAGATACAGAAGAGGCAGATGAAGCAGGAACAGAAGCAGTGGCAGTGACAGCGAGGCAGGCGTTGATAGCCCGGGCTGCTGCTTGCTTGAGGGCGGGTGATGGAAAGGAGAGCAGGTGGAGGAGCGGCAGCAGGAGCAGCGGAACCACAGCCGCTCTGTGTGTGCCACCACCGCCACGTGTGCCACCACCGCCACGTGTGCCACCACCGCCACGTGTGCCACCACCGCCACGTGTGCCACCACCGCCACGTGTGCCTCTGAGCCCAGACGAGGCGGCTTCAGCAGGTTCACGATTCAGCTTGGAGAGGGTCTGCTGAAGGGTCTGCTGCAGCACTGCGAGCACAGCGGTGTGGTCCTCGTCTGCTGATAACCCCATAGTAGCAGGCGCAGCAACCCCACCACCTCCACCACATCCCCTTCCTCCCCTCTCTGCTGCTGCTCCTCCTCCTCTGATTCCCCACCTTCTCTTCTCGTCCTTCTTCCCCCTTCAACCCCGCTCTGTGCTCCCACCCCCTCGCTCGGCGCTTCCCCTTCCCTTCTCGCCTCTCCAGCCCATCCCTTCTCTGTGCTCGCCTCTCTGCTGCGAGCCCATCCCCTCTCCCCCACCTCCCCTCTCTGCACGTCAATCCGCGCTCGAAGCAGGGAGGCCTTCTGAACGAGGAAGAGGCAGGAGGGCAGCCCTGCAGCAGCAGAGGCAGCAGCACTGGGAGCTGCAGCAGCTCCAGCAGCAGCAGAACCTGCACCACCACCAGCGGTGGTGGTGCCTGCGGCTTGCAGCTCGAGAGAGAGCGCAAGCGCACAGGCAGAGAGGTGAGTGGCAAGAGAGGGGAGCGAGTCCGGATGGTTGTTGTGAAATTCCTGGTTTTGGTTTTGCGGTTCTTGTGTGCGATTGGACGGTGACGTGGCATAAGCTAGATCCATGAGCTCGCCCAAACATGCCAGCATGGACTCTCGATCCTGGCGTGTGGGATGGACACGCATGCGCACACAAACACACGCTCACGCACATGCACACACATACACACACGAACACAGGCAGATGCGCGCACGCGCGCGCACACACACACACACAAGAATGCGTGCACGTGCAGACACACAGAGTAGGCGGTTAAAAATGGCATTGGAAAATTGCAGAGACTCAGCGAGCCGCAATATGACATGAACTGCAGAAGCGACGTCGTCACCCCCCACTCACGCTGGCACTCACACTCACTCACACCGCCACTCACGCTGGCACTCACCGCTGCTGACGAGAGCATGTGCCACGGAAGCAGCGACACCAGCAGCGCCATGATAGGCTGGAACAGGTCTGCTGACGTGGCAGCCACTTGGACCAATCGCGTGTGGAGGGCAGCCTTGAAGCGGAGGCGGGAGGGCGGGGAGGGCGCGGGGAGGAGGGCGCGGCAGAGGAACGGGAGAAGAGAGGAGAAGAGAAGAGTCCTGTCTCTGCTGCTGCTGCTGCTGCTGCTGCTACTGTCGCTGCTGCTGCCCCTGCTGGCGCTGCCACTGTTGCTGCTGCTGCCATTGCTGATAATGGTGGTACTGCTAGGCTTTGTCTTGGTGGTGGTGGTGGAGAGAGGAGGAGGGGAGAGGAGGAGGAGGGTGAGGTGGTGTAGCAGAGGCAGATGCGCCTCGTCTCGTGTCTCCAATAGCTGCTCGCCACGTCATCACACAGAAATGCAGAGAGAGAGGGGCGTGCAAATGTGATGATAGTGCAAATGTGATGATAGTGCAGTAACAACAGCTTTTGAGTCGACTCAAAAGTCAATTGTCTATAGTGCAGTAACAACAGCACAGTGAACTAAGGGAAATATGAGCTGGTTTTTGAGAATTCTCAAAAACCAGCACAGTAAACAAAGGGAAATAGGAGGAGCGCACAGCGCAATAGTACGCTTCTGAGAACGCAAACGCTTTTGGTGCGCACAGCACAATGAGCATTGTGCACCTCATTCATAGAACGATGCTCTCAGAAGACAAACGCTTCTGAACGCAAACGCTTTTGGTTAACCCCCCTCCCGCACAACACTTGTTGGAAAACAGCCAGTTGTCTTACAGGCAAACTCGCTTACACGAGTGAACAGGTGGGTGCTCCCTCCCCGTCCATCGCCACTGCATTGTATGGCGCCTCACACAGGAAACCACGCTGCTAACACTAAGCTGCACCATACTTAGACAACAGGCAGTGTCACAGGCTTGTTGCCATACAAAGTGACGGGCTCATTGTCTCACTGGCAACATGCTTACACGTGTGAAGGGGTGGGTGCCTCCTGTCCAGCGCCACTGCACCTCCGCTCGTTGCTCTCCCCTCCCCTCCTTCTCCCCTTCAAACTCAATCCCGCCCTTCTGCTGCATTTTCCGCCCCTCCCGCGCATCCGCGTCACCCTTTGCAGGCGCCACGTCACCCCTGGCACACGCCACGTCATCCCTGACACACGCCACGTACATCCCCACCACCCCCGCGCACACACTCCCCACCACCTCCCCCCGCACTGCTGGCAGCGCCGCCAGCAGATGCGCCAGCGCTGGGGGGACGGAATGGGGGGATTTGCAGGGGTAAAGGGAGGAGAGGGAGGGGGAGGACAAGGGTTAGGGGAGGAAAGGGGAGGAAGAGGGGTAAAGGACAGAGCGTGATGATGTTGGGAAGGGTACATGGAAAAGTGGAACGATAGTAGAGGTAAAATGCTAAAACTAGAGGGCATTTACATTCCAACCTAAAAGATACCTATTGCCTTCCACTAGGAAACCACCACGAACCTTCATCCGCATTGCAGTGCCCTGATTGGACGAGCCCGCACAGCGCCGTTACGGATTGGTCCACCACGGCTGACGTGGCATGCGTCAGGCACGCCGTCAGCGCCTCGCGCGCAGGCGCGCAGGTCTGCGGCGCCGTGCTCGGCGCTGCGAATCGCGCGAAGATGACGTCTACAGTGAATCGCTGCACCGACGGGTGCGGCGCGTTCAAACGGTCCAAAAGTGGCGGGAAAATCTCCGCGGGCCGCGCCATGGCTCCTCAATTGAAGCTTCGATTTAGACCTTGATCTAGTACTAGACTTTGGTTCAGGCTCCAATTCTACTTTTGAGGCGCCTCAAAAGTACCCATGGCTCCTAAATTGAAGCCGCGATTCAGACCTCGATCCAGACTTTGGTTCAAACTCCGATTCTGGCTGTTCTATAGGCTGGCAAAGCTTAGTGCAGGCTTCGAATCTAACTGTACGCGGGTTCTAAAGAGGGACTCGATGGCACGGAGGAGGCAGCTAGCGTGCATTGATTGACTCCGCCGCGTCTTGTCCTAAAGCTCTGCTTCCACATAAACTACGTTCAGGCAACAGCTCGGCAAAATCCATGATCCATGCAGGCTGGACAGGAACATTGATGAACAATCAGTGATTTCTCTCATCGTCCTCGTTATTGGACTCGCCTAAACGAGTTTCCGCTACATCCAGAATTCAGGTTCCGTGACCTTCCCATTCAGGGAGATCACGACGGCTTGTAACACATAACGCACTCCTCGAATGACGCTGACAAGACCTTCACGAGGTTTCGGCAACCCTCGATGTCACCGATATCGAGGCGGACGAATTTTCTCGAACGAATAGTGCGAGATGCGTTTCAGTCACAAAATCCAAACAATATGCAAAACATGCTCTTATATATATATATAAAAATGTATATAAATACGCTCCGATATTTGGAGCCATTGTCCAAATTCCTCTGGGCATAGTTTTTTGTCCCCTCTCAGTGAAACGACCCAGTTTTAGGCACCACGCTTTCCGCCGCTTGTTCCGCAATGGCCGCCCGCGCCCTTGCTTGTACGCGCTTTTCGTTGCAAGAGTCACCAGTTGCCGTTAACAATGTGCTTAAAACGAGGGGTGGTGCCTGCATAAGCCGTTCGTTTTCCTCCTCCCCCGCATTCCGCCTTCCCCTGCATCCCGCAGCTTCCTGGAAATCACGCGTCTTATCCTCTAACCAGGGAAAACGAAACACCTCGTCCATGACTGTACGGTCAGCGATCGACTTAGACTTGAATCAACGGCCAGAAATTCTCGTCGCGATCGAGGGGAGCTTATCACGATGCCTCGTCCAATCAGATCTCGAGGGGTCCGTGCCTGGGGTCGGGCCGAAGCAAGAGGGGAAGGTCCGAGACGTGTACACTGCCAAGCCTGCGGCAGATTCGGCGGCGAGTGGCGACAGTGACAGCAAAACGGACGAAGAACTGCTGCTGGTGGTAACCACAGATCGCCAAAGCGCGTTCGACCGGATCCTCGCATCCGTACCGTTCAAAGGGCAGGTAAATTCCCGGCATCAATTTCCTGTTTTTTTCATTCCTCTGCTTGTCACGGAGTCTGCCCGTGCACCTTAGTTAAACCAAAATCCCGAACCCGAGCTTAAACCTCTCTTCACCTCCTATGAGATGCATATCGCCCACCTCCCTCCCTCTCCCTCCTCCCTTCCCTCCTCCCTCCCCCCTCCCCCCAGGTCCTGAATCAGACGAGTGCGTGGTGGTGGCTCGAGCAGACAGCCCCCATCGTCCCCAACGCCTTCCTGTCTTCGCCCCCAGCCAGACGCTCAATTCCCCTTCACCCCTCCCTCTGCCGCCCCCATCCTCCGGCTTCCCTCCTCCCCCTCAGATCCTGAATCAGACGAGTGCGTGGTGGTGGTTCGAGCAGACAGCCCCCATCGTCCCCAACGCCTTCCTGTCTTCGCCCCCTGCCAGACGCTCAATTCCTCTTCACCCCTCCCTCTCCCGCCCCCATCCTCCGGCTTCCCTCCTCCCCCTCAGGTGCTGAATCAGACGAGCGCATGGTGGTTCGAGCAGACGGCCTCCATCATGATCATCCCAAACGCCTTCCACTCCTCGCCCCGTATCAGACGGCAGCTCACCCTTCGCCTCTCCCCTCCCTCGCTCTCTTCCCTCCCACCACCCCTCTCCCCTCAGGTGCTGAATCAGACGAGCGCATGGTGGTTCGAGCAGACGGCCTCCATCATCCCAAACGCCTTCCTGTCTTCACCCGACCCCAACGTCACGCTCTTCCGAAAGTGCCAAGTCTTTCCCGTCGAGTTTGTAGGTGAGTTAATTGACACAGTGAGCGAGGTGACTTTTGAGTCGACTCAAATTTGAGTTGACTTTTGAGTTGACTATTGAGTCGACTCAAAAGTCACCTAGTCGACTCAAAAGTGACACAGTGAGCGAGCAACAAGCTCTTTCCATGCTTTTGCAAAGAGTTCGTCAGAATCATCAAGGAAACAGCAGAAAATGAATACATAAAAAATACATACATTATAAATGTATACATTATAAATATTTATTCATATAGCATCTGAGCAAAAACGAGGCATCCCCCCTTTGCCCTATACTTGCTTTCAACAATCAATCACACCTCCCTTCCCCCACCCGCAACCACTCGGTGTGTGGATACATCACTGGCACAACCAGCACGTCGCTGTGGACGGTCTACAACAATGGGGCGTTCCCTTGGTCAACTCAGCACTCACTCACACCTCTCCCTCACCCCCTTTATCCCGTTTCTCTCAGTCCGAGGATACATCACCGGCACAACCAGCACGTCGCTGTGGACGGTCTACAACAATGGGGCGTTCCCTTGGTCAACTCAGCACTCACTCACACCTCTCCCTCACCCCCTTTATCCCGTTTCTCTCAGTCCGAGGATACATCACCGGCACAACCAGCACGTCGCTGTGGACGGTCTACAACAATGGGGCGTTCCCTTGGTCAACTCAGCACTCACTCACACCTCTCCCTCACCCCCTTTATCCCGTTTCTCTCAGTCCGAGGATACATCACCGGCACAACCAGCACGTCGCTGTGGACGGTCTACAACAATGGGGCGTTCCCTTGGTCAACTCAGCACTCACTCACACCTCTCCCTCACCCCCTTTATCCCGTTTCTCTCAGTCCGAGGATACATCACCGGCACAACCAGCACGTCGCTGTGGACGGTCTACAACAATGGGGCGTTCCCTTGGTCAACTCAGCACTCACTCACACCTCTCCCTCACCCCCTTTATCCCGTTTCTCTCAGTCCGAGGATACATCACCGGCACAACCAGCACGTCGCTGTGGACGGTCTACAACAATGGGGCGTTCCCTTGGTCAACTCAGCACTCACTCACACCTCTCCCTCACCCCCTTTTATCCCGTTTCTCTCAGTCCGAGGATACATCACCGGCACAACCAGCACGTCGCTGTGGACGGTCTACAACAATGGTGCTCGCTCCTACTGTGGGAACGACTTGCCTGAAGGTGTGTGTGTGGGTTGGCAGGTGTGTGGGTGGGTTGAGGAGAGGAGAGGAGAGAGGAGGGAGGGAGGGAGTATGATATGAACAAGCACCACGACCAGCACGTCGCTGTGGACGGTTTACAACAATGGTGCTCGCTCCTACTGTGGGAACGACTTGCCTGAAGGTGGGTGGGTTGGCAGGTGTGTGGGTGGGTTGAGGAGAGGAGAGGAGAGTGGAGGGAGGGAGGGAGTATGATATGAACAAGTACCACGACTAGCACGTCGCTGTGGACGGTCTACAACAATGGCGCTCGCTCCTACTGTGGGAACGACTTGCCTGAAGGTGTGTGTGTGGGTTGGGGTTTGGGGTTTGGGGGGCTGGGAGGGGGTTTTCACTCGATCTTGGGGGTGTGCACTCCACAGGAGGACTTTTCTCGCGGGCTCATGACCGGGAGGGGCTTGAAGCAACAACCCGAGAGCTGTTTCTGAAGCCCATAGTTGGGCCGCCTCAAGAGTACGAATCCACCCCTCCCCATCTTTCCTTGTCCCTCCACCCCTCCCCATATTTCCTTGTCCCTCCCCCCCACACCCAGGTCTGCGCAAAAACGATCGCTTATCTGCGAACATTCTGACGCCCACCACCAAAGCAGCGGACCACGACGAGCCTGTTACACCAGAGGAGATCGTTTCCCGCGGGCTCATGACAAGAGAGGAGTTTGAAACGACCAGGGGGTTGGCGCTGAAGCTGTTTGCGTTCGGGCAGCAGGTGGCAGAGCAGCACAGTTTGATTCTGGTGGATACCAAGTACGAGTTTGGGAAGGACTCGGAGGGCAACATTCGGCTCATTGACGAGGTGAGCTGGCCTGCCTTGACTCGACAGGGGGGCTCATGAAATGGGTTCAGTGGGATAGCCTCACTTCACCCATTACGAGGGCTCATGACCCAGGAGGAGTTTGAGACGACCAGGGAGCTGAGTTAAGTTTTGAGGCGCCTCAAAACGAGACGATCAGGGGGTTGGCACTGAAGCTGTTTGCGTTCGGGCAAGACAAGGCAGGGGAGCACGGGCTCATATTGGTGGATACGAAATACGAGTTTGGAAAGGACTCGGAGGGCAACATTCGACTGATAGATGCGGTGAGACGAGTGCATTTGAGTCACCCTTCGCCTCCCTGCCTTTTCTCCCTTCTCTCCCCTTCCAATACTCTTGCCCCTCAGGTGCACACACCCGACTCCCCTCCGATATAAAAATTGCGGGTAATGAGACGACTTTTGAGGCGCCTCAAAAGTCCTTCCATCTCCCCTCCCCTCAGGTGCACACACCCGACTCCCCTCCTCCCTTCTCTCCCCTCCCATCTCCCCTCCTTCCGTGCACGAGAAGAGGCATGCAGAGGGGATGCATTTGAGTGACCCATTGCCCCCTGGGTTCTCTCCTTCTTTTTCCCTTCTACTCTTGCCACCCAGGTGCATACACCAGACTCCAGCCGCTATTGGATCGCATCCACGTACGAGAAGAGGCACGCAGAGGGGCTAGAGCCGCAAAACATAGACAAGGTGAGGCAGAGCGACTGCTGTGAGACTGAATGCCGATTTTATGCATCTCAGGTACGAGCAGGAGCACTTACAAGCAGAGGCACGCAGTGGGGTTAGAGTCGCAGAACATAGACAAGGTGAGGCTGGTTTTCATGTGCCTCCGATGTTTCTTCAACCATCGGCACCAAATTCCCTAATTCATGCGTTCTGCTGTTGGTGTGTCTTTCCACGCTTC